GCGATGGTGGGGTTCCTCCACTCTGCAACTCTGACACGTATTTCTGCTAGAGGGTCCCTGGTGGTATGTTTGAGATGAGCTTGCTCCAGAGGAACCTGACTCAGAAACACCAGAGGCAGGTGTCTGCTTGGGAGGGAAGGGCTGCTCTGGCAACTGAGTGCAGGAGGAGTTCCAGAAGCAACAGAGCTTGGAGGTCCTGGGCTTGATTTTGACCCACCCACTCAGGGCACGAATGGGGAACAGCAGAATTTCTCTTGTCATGTCCTGGGTGTGTGGTGCTGGTGACCTTAAGAAATGACCTTGTTCTTTCCCTGAAGGTGGCAGTTAGTGCCACAGCTTGCTCAGGGAAGCTAGCAGAGATGAGATCTTCTTTCAGATGTTGGCAGAGGTTTGTCTAAGTGAGTTTTGGCCAATTGATGGGAATGTGAAAAGTTGTTTTGCTTAAAATGTAGTGAGATTGCTGTCTTCGGCTTGTGAAGGCAGTGAATGAGTTGGCTCTCTTGGCAAGAGCAGCCATGAGGGCAAGTGGTAGTAGTGCCAGAGACTGAGCCTGTTCCTAGGGCGTCTCTCCCCTTTGCTCTGTATTGATCAACAGCATGTGCTACCCAGGTGTTGCGTGCAGGTCTGCTCTTTGTTCAGGGGTGGGGTCCGGCTACTTCCTGAGCTGGCAGAGTTTTGGGAGCTGCATTGGCTCATGGTTGGTGTTTAGAAGTAGGGTCTGATACACATCCTTTAGTGATATGGACAGACTGCGAGCCACTGAATCATTCAGAGTTTTCAATATGTTGGTTACACACAAGGATAATTTAGCTTGTTCATGAAAAATTTGCAATAAAAGTCACGTGCATTTTCTTTGCATGTTTAAAAGCCTCTTGTATATTTATTTGAAAGCCTGATAAATGTATGATTTATCTAATAATTGACAGAGTTTTCTGAGATATCTTATATGGTAAAGGAGTATTTTTTTTATATATATAGCTACAAATTCAAACTTAAAACAAACAAAATTCCTTTTTTTTTTTAGTAACCTTACTTAGTGGATTTGGGTACAAATCTTCAAGGGCTATAGAAAAGTTGGTAATGCCATTTTTTCTACAGTAATATCATCATTTTTCCTGCATCTGGAGGCTGGGGAGAAACAAACGGAAAAGCCTCACCCAGCCTCTCACCCATCTCATGTCCCTGATGTGAGGCACTCTCCGAGGGTCCTGCTCAAGCAGTTTTGATAGTTCAACAGTTCTGAAATGCTGCCAATGTTGCCGTTCCAATCGCCATGAAACCTATTCACAATCCACTTGCTGATAAAGTTTCTTCATGGTTGGGGATCTGAGATCAGCAGTTCAGTTAGAGGGATCCCCTGAGAATCTTCATCTGAGGTGATCCCAGACCGGATTCTTGTGAGTTTGCCAGTCCAAGGTCCTGCTCAGTCTCTCCCCCCAGATTATGCATATGCTGGTCATTGCAACTGCTGGGTCAGTTCTGTTTCCAGCCCTGTCTTCCACATGTACCATGGGTGTTGTAGTCCAGCTCGATCCTACCCACTTCATATTTTGTACTCCCGCAAACCATGGGAGCTGCAGCTTATTTGGGGCGACTTCCCATAACCCCCACTAGACCTGCCCCCTACCCTGGTTCCCATGGATGCCAGTATGTACCACAGGCTTGTTCAGTCTGTTCCACAACCCATTTAGCTCTCGTACATGTCAATGGGTATTGAAGCCTAGTTCAATCCAACCAACCTACTATCCAACCCACTCACTTACTGGCAGGCACCTTTCTGTCTAGCCACTCCTGCCCCCTGTCCCAGTGTTTGTGCTCTCCAGTGGGAGTGGTAACCCAAGAGGGAGGTGCCCACTATTTCCCTATTAGGTCACTCCCACTCCAAGATTATGCACTCTTCAGGTGGTTCTGTGGTTTAGCTTGACAGAATTAGCCCCCTGTGCCAGCCTCTGCCATCTGATGCTGCAGCAAAGCCCAACCATCCCTTACCCACACTGATTTTTCCTTGCACCAGTTGAAACTGTTAGCCCAACCTGGTCCCTCCCTAATCTAGGTCCTATGACGCCCATAGGTGTTGTACCCCTGCCTGGTCTGGTCTACCCCCATCCCAAATCATGCTCTCCAGTGGGAGTGGCTGTCCAGCAGGGGAGCCCGCATTCTCCTGCTGGCTTTGCTTCCTCCTCCCCCCTCCTCCAATTTTCATGTGTGCTTCTTTGGCACTGTAACCACATTTGGTATGGCTCACCTCACTTTGGCATTCTGTAACATGCATTGGTATGTGTTGGGACTGAACCTGGCCCGACCCACACTGTATTGTGTTGCTCAGATTCACCAGTGGGTGATGTGAATGGGTTCAGCCTGGTCTGCCCCCCACCTATTCCATAAGTACAATGGTGTGTATCTTCCAATGGTCTGGTCTGGGTTGCTCCCTGTCGTGGTTGCTGTGCTCACCTGTAGGGACTGTGTTCTGACAGAGGAGTTTCGCAAGCTCCTCCTTAAGAACCTCTCCCTATGCCAGATCTTGCACGTACTGGTGGTTTCATGGGCCAGCCCTCATTGTTGGCCTTCAATCCATTCCAGTTCTTGGTGTTGGACGTTTTGCCCCAGCCAAGGCTTGTCCATACCCAGACTCTGCTCATACATGTCTCAGTAGGGTTAGAGAGAGACCCAGCCTAGTCCGTCCTACATCTACCCAGGTTCCCCGAAGCACTAGATGGTGCTGGTGTCTAGCCCAGCTTGGTGCACCCAGCCCCAGTCCACAATTGTGCCAAGGGAGATTGCAGCCATATCCAGACAAGAATGTAACCCCCACTCCAGCCCCCACACCCTCCTGTGGGAATCCCAACCCAGCAAGAGTGTACTCTCACAGCTCCCCAGCCAAGTCTATTCCCAGTCCTAGATTATGCGGGTGCCAGTGGTTGCTCTGACCCAGTTGGCTTAGCCCCTCATCTGTCTCAGCCTTTGCCTTCGATGCTGTGGCATAGTATTTCTGCCTCATACAGACCAATTGGTGTAAGAGCCTAGATCGGAATGATATGTGCTCCATCCTGATTTCTGGTTTTTTTTTTTTTTTTTTTGAGTTGAGACTTGCTTGGCCCTGCCCAGTCCATCCCCTTCAAGTTGCAGCTTGGCCCACCCCACATCCTATTTTAGGATGCACCTTTGGGTGGTGCTGCCTTGACCTGCCCAGATTGCCATCGATTCCTTTACTCATAAGTGATGGCAGGTGCCATGGTCACTCCTAGCTTAGTCCATCACCACCCCAGCTCACAAGCTAACCTGTGGGACTTGTATTTCCACAGGGTTGGGTCTACTCTTTCCCCACAATTTACCCCCAGACTAAGTTCTCAACGTGTGCTGGTTAGTGTCCTGACCCTGCCAAATGTGACCAGTCCACTATTCCACCACCCAGTCAGGTAATGGTACCTAGCCCTGCCAAACAGGTCCCCATCTATAGCTTTTGAGTGGACTGGTGTGTGGCAGTCAGTGATGCTTTATGCTAATATCCCATCTCAGGATTCCTAATTTGGCTGGTGAATCAGTCTGGCCCAAATAGATCTATGGACACTCCCCTCCAAACCATCAGGTCCCAGTTCCCACACTCGCCCAAAAGTTTCATGACCCTGTTACTGGAAATCACCCAGAATTCATCTCTCACCTACACTAAAACTGGCCTTATTCATGGTGTCCCTAGGCAGCAGTTTATTATCCCAAACACCCCAGAGTTCGCCACTGGGCAGTCATTAGGCAGAGCCTGGCACCACTTGGTGCACTGGCTGCCCAAAGCCAAGGACCCGGTCCCTGCCTTCTGGCAGTGGTTTTGGCTCTAGTTCCTAGCTTTGGGTCCGGTCCGGCAGGGTCACCCCTCACATCCACCACACTTCAGGGAGCTTCAGTTGCCCCCGGCCCCAAGGCCCAAACCAAGAAACAAAATTCCGAAGGAGAATTTCAGATGTCAAAAAAGGGCCTTTGATGAAAAGGCCTGGATTACATCCTTTGCACAAATGAAGGTTTCATCAGGAGGTGTGTGGACAGGTGTGATTTTCCTTGTCTGGGCCGGTGTGCGGGCTGTTTTGGATAGCGTGCCATGTCAAGCTGGAGAACTGAGGTTGTGATGAGAATTTCATCTATCTGTTGAGATGGAGTTGTTGTTGGGTAATGTTTCCCCAGTGATGTGAGTTTGTATATATGTGTGTGTTAGATGTAGTATGTCAAACCCTACATGGAGGTTTGACTGAGATCTCCTGTGAGAAAATATTGTTGTGTTTCCATGTGGGAATTACATCCAAGTCTGTGATGAAAACTTGACATCAGGACATCAGTGAGGGATCACCGTCCTGGAGAACACTGCACTTGTTTGTGGGATGAGGAGCTGATGTTCCCTGCTTGAGGGTGCTGGCGATGTCAGGTGCAGCTGGATGGGGTGAGGTTAGGGCTGTACAGCTCTGCATAAGTCCTCTGTTCATGACTGCAGGTTTCATGTCTTTGTGTCCTGAGAAGACGTGGACAATGCCAACCTTCTTCAGTAGCCCAGAGCTTTGCTGTGTGCCTAGTCATTGCATTGGTTCTGGGCATGCCATGTTCGCTTGCTTTGTTCCCTGTCATGGCATAGGTTTTGGACCTGCGATGTTCACTGGCTTTGCTCCCTTCAGGCATCGTTCCTGGATATGCTGTGTGTTCTTGCTTTGTGTCCTATCATGGCAATGTTCCTGGATATGCCATGTTCACTTGTTTTGTGCTCTGTCATGGCATCAGTCCTGGACATGCCATGTTTGTGTGCTTTGTGCCCTATCAGGAATCGGTGCTGGACATGCCACGTTCACTTGCTTTGTGTCCTGTCATGGCAATGTTCCTGGACATGCCATGTGTGCTTGTTTTGTGCTCTGTCAGGCATTGGTCTTGGACTTCCTGTGTATACTTGATGGGAACATGTGCTTTATTGCTGCTGGACAGTTTTTGATGTGTGTGTATGTGTGTGTGTGTGTGTGTGTGTGTGTGTGTGTGTGTGTGTGTGTGTGTGTGCGTGCGTGTGTGTGTCTGTTAGCTCCATTTTGTCCAGTGTGTAGCTGTCTTTTCGGTTGATGTGGTGTATTCTAGCCTTCTGGTATTCCTGTATTGCAATGTGTGTCTGGTTTCAGATGCTTCAATTCCCAGTTGATGTAGATAAGTGCTGTCTTGTTGGGAGTATAGGATTATTCTTTTTCATCATTTTATCCTCTTCACTGAATTGACATTGCCATCATTATGCAATGTCCTTACTATTTTTGTTGAGTGGTTTTTCGCTTGTAGTCAGTGTTATCTGATCAAAGGAGAGCTTCACTGCTCACATTTGGTTTCCTCTGTGCAGCACACCTGTTTCCATCTCTCAGGTTCAGTTCTGTTTTTCTCATTACATTTTCTTTTGCAGGAAGAATATTGAAGTCTAGTTTCCTTCTCCACTCAAGCACTCAGTGCTTGAGAATCTAATTGGATTGTAGATATGGAAGTCTGGAGATGGTGAAAAACCCTCCTGGAAATGAATAAGTAGAGTACCAGTGTATCAACAGTGATGCTTGTGGGCAGTGTATCTACACTGATTGAAATTGCCAAGCTCCAGATCTTGCAATTTGCCCTTGGATCTCAATTTCTTTATAAACAAACCACCTATATAGTCAAGGACAAAAAGTGAATTGTATGTTTGACCAGATTTCCAATGTGCAGGTTTGTTAAGTACCATCTGCTTTTCATGTGTATGTGTGTATGTGTCCTCAAGGTATAAAAACCAGTGCTTACACTCTGAGTGCAGATCTTGTATGCCATTGCTTAACGGAGCGATTGTTATATAATCTTGCCTGTGAAGAATTCAGGCACTTATTTTAGCAAATACTCTTCATTTCTCACTGTTCTTTGGAGAAAATCATTGGCTGTGTCATTTTTTTTTCCTGGACTATGTGAAAACACGCCCTTTCTGTGGGTGGATTTTTTGTTTATTCCTTCCGCCTTTAGTACACAGCTCAGAGTCCAATTAACGGTGTTGCTCAGGCTACAGCCAATAATGTCCACTGCAATGAAGACAGGTCTCCTTCCCCTGTGTGTGTGCCTGCTGCTGGCCTCTGGCTCAGGTGAGGCAGGCAAGCTGCTGGTGGTCCCCATGGATGGCAGTCACTGGTTTACCATGCGCTCGGTGGTGGAGAAGCTCATTGAGAGAGGGCATGAGTTGGTTGTCGTCATGCCAGAGGTGAGTTGGCAACTGGGACAGTCCCTGAATTGCACAGTGAAGAGCTACAAGACGTCTCACACCCTGGAAGATATGGACCGTGTGTTCGAGGATTTTGCCAGATATCAATGGAAAGTTCGAGAGGACAACTTATTTAACGTTAAGAAGGGTCCATTGTACAATTTATTTGAACTCATTTTTTCGCATTGTAGGAGTTTGTTTAATGACAAGAAATTAGTGGAGTATTTGAAAGAAACTTCTTTTGATGCAGTGTTTCTGGATCCTTTTGATACGTGTAGCTTAATAATGGCCAAATATTTATCGCTGCCATCTGTGGTGTTCACCAGGGGAGTATTTTGCCACTATCTTGAAGAAGCTACGCAGTCTCCCCATCCTCTTTCTTATGTTCCTAGAGGTCTGTTGAGCTTCTCAGATGTCATGACCTTCAAAGAGAGAGTTTGGAATCATATCACTCATTTTCAAGAGCGTTTATTTTGCCACCATTTTTTCAAAAGTATTTTAGAACTTGCTTCTGAAGTTTTCCCAGAGCCCGTCACACTCTATGACCTCTTCAGCCACACCTCAATCTGGCTGATAAGAACTGACTTTGTGTTTGACTATCCCAAACCTGTGATGCCCAACATGGTCTACGTGGGTGGTATTAACTGCCATGAGGGGAAACCTTTGTCGAAGGTGAGTTCTAGCTCCTTTAGCCTGGAGGGAGTATTGGTTTTTTTATTAATATAAAAAAAACTGTTCAGCTCTGATTTATGCTTTAATTTAATTGTTCCAGTTTGAAAAAATGTACAGTGTGGATTTCTTATTTGGCGCATTAACATTGTAAAGCTTTCTCACTGAGAGGTATGTGTCGCACTTCATCTCATGGTATGAATATTCAACTGGCATTTAAAAAGTGCTGGTTTTAGAAAATATATTATGAAACACACTGTGACATACAATTTTATGTGGGTTACCCAGACACCTTTGAAAATTCTATTAGTACTCTTGTTCATGTGTTTATATTTTATACGTATATATGTGACGTGAATTTCCACATCTGTCTCATTAAAACAATGTTTGATATCAGAATAGATCTAATCAATCTAATTTTCATTTGCAATTTGTACTTGCCTACTAATCATGGGCAGTCATATCTACACAACATACACATTTGGTATGGTCTTATAGACAACAGGATGTCTTCAAGGAATCATTAATGATATCTATTCACCTAGCTCCTTTTTCCTGATACATGCAAAATTGTCCAAAACATTGTTCTGTCTTTCTTTTGTGCACAGTTGTGCTCAGAATCTTGCATGTACTTGCATTTTTCTACCAGTAGGCAGAGCCTGAGCTCTACAGTCATAATATCCAACACATTTATCACAGTGTAAAGAAGTTCGGGAACTTTTGCACAATTGTTGATGCCATGCAAAGAGTAATAAACATCCAAGTAACCCTGGCAGAAAATAGGTTCCCCACCCTTGCAGAAAGCACCTCATTAACCTGAAGGACAGAACCCCTGCCTCATGTGGCAGAAAAGCTGGGAGTGTAGGGAGATTCCTGCTCAGCCTATTGGGGAAGAGGTGTTTGCGATGGTGGGGTTCCTCCACTCTGCAACTCTGACACGTATTTCTGCTAGAGGGTCCCTGGTGGTATGTTTGAGATGAGCTTGCTCCAGAGGAACCTGACTCAGAAACACCAGAGGCAGGTGTCTGCTTGGGAGGGAAGGGCTGCTCTGGTAACTGAGTGCAGGAGGAGTTCCAGAAACAACAGAGCTTGGAGGTCCTGGGCTTGATTTTGACCCACCCACTCAGGGCACGAATGGGGAATAGCAGAATTTCTCTTGTCATGTCCTGGGTGTGTGGAGCTGGTGACCTTAAGAAATGACCTTGTTCTTTCCCTGAAGGTGGCGGTTAGTGCCACAGCTTGCTCAGGGAAGCTGGCAGAGATGAGATCTTCTTTCAGATGTTGGCAGAGGTTTGTCTAAGTGAGTTTTGGCCAATTGATGGGAATGTGAAAAGTTGTTTTGCTTAAAATGTGAGATTGCTATCTTCGGCTTGTGAAGGCAGTGAATGAGTTGGATCTCTTGGCAAGAGCAGCCATGGAGGGCAAGTGGTAGTAGTGCCAGAGACTGAGCCTGTTCCTAGGGCGTCTCTCCCCTTTGCTCTGTATTGATCAACAGCATGTGCTACCCAGGTGTTGCGTGCAGGTCTGCTCTTTGTCCAGGGTGGGTCCCGGCTACTTCCTGAACTGGCAGAGTTCAGGGAGCTGCACTGGCTCATGGGCGGTGGTTACAAGTACACACCCCTTAAAGAAATGTATAGCCTGTGAGCCACTGAATCATTCAGAGTTTTCAATATGTTGGTTACACATAAGGGCACCTAAGCATGGTCGTGCAAAAGGAAAAATAAAAGAATGAGTCTTTTCATTGAATGATTAGAAGTTTCTTTTATATATATATGTTTGAATGCATAATAGAAGCCATTATATTTCCAACAATTGGTATAGATCGATGAAATTCCTTTTATATTAAGGGTGTTTTGCATGCATTTATGAATAATGATTAAAAGAAACAAAATCTTGAGGAAGCATTTAGACTCAAAGAGGGGCCTTGATGCAAAGTTTTGGGGTACATTTTCATCAGGACATGTGGACAATGTGTGTTCTCCATTGACTGGGCAGCTGTTCAGGCTGCCTCTAAGAAATCTTGCAATGGCTTTCAGGAAAGCATGGTTTGCTATTCTAACTTGGTCCTCTGTTGAGGAGGTATGGGTGGAGAGTGTTCTCATGAGGATGTGTGTGTGTTTGTGTGTTTATTTCATGCAATGTATCAAGGTGAACCTTGAAGAGAATTCTGTGATCTATTATATGAAATTATCCTAGAGTTTATAGTTTGAAATTATATCTAAATTTGTAATAAAATGTTTTAAAATAGCTGAGAGACCATTATGCTGAAGAACATTGAGCTTGTTTTAATGGGAAGATTAGGAAACAACCATTCCCAGTTACACTGTTTGTTGAGTTCTCTTTCTCTGTGTTTCTTTTGTATGTGTGTGTCCTCCAGGTATAAAGTCATCCCTTACAATCTGTTGCTTAACTCATAATGCCAGGAAGGTGTGTCCTTTCCCGTGCAGCAAATATATGCTAATCCTTTGTGCAAACATACAAGCTCATGTCCAAGTAAATGGCATTCATTTCTCATGTTGTCCAAGTAAATCATTGATATATATATATGTATATATATCTATATCTATATATATGTATACATATGTCACAGCCAATGATTGACTATGTATATGGCCTATGTGAAAACACACCCTTTCTTGGGTAGGTTTTATATCAGTGTTTCTTCTGCCAACCCCAGTTCTCAGCTGAGTCTCCCAGCAGCTGGGTTGCTGGAGCCACAGCTCAGCAAACTGTTCTGCAATGAAGACTGGTCTCCTTCCCCTGTGTGTATGCCTGCTGCTGGCCTCTGGCTCAGGTGAGGCAGGCAAGCTGCTGGTGGTCCCCATGGATGGCAGTCACTGGTTTACCATGCGCTCGGTGGTGGAGAAGCTCATTGAGAGAGGGCATGAGTTGGTTGTTGTCATGCCAGAGGTGAGTTGGCAACTGGGACGGTCCCTGAATTGCACAGTGAAGAGCTACAAGACGTCTTACACCCTGGAAGACATAGACCATGCAATGAAGGATTTTGCTGAAACTCAATGGACTGTTCAGGAGGACAACATGGTCTCTCTTTGGATGGGTTCAGGATATAATTTGTTTGAACTCTTTTTTTCGCATTGTAGGAGTTTGTTTAATGACAAGAAATTAGTGGAGTATTTGAAAGAAAGCTCCTTTGATGCAGTGTTTCTGGATCCTTTTGATATGTGTGGTTTAATTGTGGCCAAATATTTATCGCTGCCATCTGTCGTGTTCACCAGGTTAATATTTTGCCACTATCTTTGGGAAGCTACACAGTGTCCCAATCCTCTTTCTTATGTTCCTCTTAATTTTGTAAGCTCCTCAGATGTCATGACCTTCAAGGAGAGAGTTTGGAACCATATCACTCATTTTCAAGAGCGTTTATTTTGCCACCATTTTTACAAAAGTATTTTAGAACTTGCTTCTGAAGTTTTCCCAGAGCCTGTCACACTCTATGACCTCTTCAGCCACACCTCAATCTGGCTGATAAGAACTGACTTTGTGTTTGACTATCCCAAACCTGTGATGCCCAACATGGTCTACGTGGGTGGTATTAACTGCCATGAGGGGAAACCTTTGTCGAAGGTGAGTTCCAGCTCCTTTAGCCTGGAAGGATTAGCATGCTTTGGTATTCTGGTTAAATAACAAACCTTGTGTTTGACTGTGATTTGTGAAGTGGTGTAGTTGTATCTAGCTGACTAATGTGCTTGTGCCACCTTCTTGTTGGTGCATAAGGCAATGTTGCAAACTGTTCTAATTGATTGACGCTATGTGTATGGCTTGATGACCTTGTGCATTTGTTCCAAGTTGCATATTTAAATACTAAATTTGGAAAAACACAAAAAGTATAGTATGAAAGATAATTTCTCCATTTATTTATCCTGACATAAATAAAAAAGGTTGTATAAGTAGCTGTCTACGCGTTTGCTGAGTGTTTATGTGCTTATTCCTAATGTAATTTCCACAAGTGTTGAATTAGAGGGAGATTTGCTATCAGGATGGACGTAATTTCTGAATCAGATAATTGCATAACTTATTCAATGATAGACATCCTTATAGGTCAGCACATACAAATTTGGCATGGTCTTGTAGACTGGAAGGAAGTCTTTTGGTGAAGTTAGGTTTTTTTTTATCTTTCAAACAATTGGAAGTGACAGGTATTGAAGTTCTGTTTTGGCTGTTATGAGCAAAATTGATCTATGCATTTTAAGCACGTAATTTGTGCCTGAGCACATGTTCAGGCTTGCTTTCTTCTCTGATGGTGGGAGTGTCAGCCCTATGATCACAGTGTCCAATGCAATATCACAATGTAACAAAGTTGGGAAACTGGTTTCCTGGTGCTGAAAATCTTCACCTTTTTCATATGGATATTGTGGATTTCTGTTGTCTTCCTTTTCTGTAAAAATAATACATGTAGTTGCCTCAGAATTACCTCCTACTTTGCTTGCTATCAGTCACTTGCATTTCCTAGTTTTAAATGACATAGTCAAGTTGTGTTGCAAAATTTTAAAAAGGCTACAACTTGCATATATATTTCACACTTATTTCTATACCTTTCCATATGTAAAGACAAAAATATGTAGTGACATGGGATACATAGCCAAACACATAGCTTCCAGCTCAACCTGTAATGGATTTAAAAAGGCTAAGCCCCGATTCATATTTTTATCCAACAAAGTATACACTAGGAGTTGTACATCCACATATTTCCATTTTGCTAAATAAAAAGAGACATGTTTTCTAGTTAAAAATGAACTGAGTGGATTATAAGTAAAGTTTTCTCCTGCTGCTCATGCTGAACCTGAGCTGAGGCTTTCATGTAAGCAGGAGAATTTAGACAAGCAGCAGCGAGTCACTCCCTAATAAACAGAAAACCCAACAGACTGATCCCCAGAGAGGCTTCTGAACAGATGCACACAGTAGGCATGCAGTAAGAACAGGGTGACTTTCAGTCTACTTCCAGCACACATCCCCTGTGTGTGCAGTGGAACCAGACAGCAACAGGAGAGGAGGTGATGCCATCACTGCACTAACACGTATGCACACACAGCATTGTATGAACTAATGCACACACATATTGGGAGTTCCAATAGCCTACATCCATATTAACCTGCTCGCTCCCATATCAATATTTCTTCAGAATTAGTGCTTAGAAGAGGCTC